GCGTGGGAAGAGGGCGAACAGCGGGGACTGGGCGGCGTTGCGGGGATCAAAGGCATGTGGGGAAGGAGCCTCGGAGGAAAGAGTCTGGAAGCGGTGATGGGGAGGAAGAAAAGGAGTCGCGGCACAGGCAAGGCAACCGAGTGAATGGCCTGTATTAGGAGAGTAAGGGGTGGGCTCAGAAGCAGGCCATTGAGGGGCGGCAGGCTGGAATGGGCTGGAGAGCGCCGAGCCGATGTGGCGGTGGAAGGAGGGGTTTAATATGTGGCAGGCAGGGCTGAAGCTCAGCCCAGAGCCCTGGCGTCTCCTTAACTCCACAGGATCAGAACAATATCTGACAAAGAATAAAAAGAAAGTACCAACAGAGGCGAATATGTGTAGCTCAGGGTTGAACTGTGGAGTCCTTGGGGTTCTCTGAGCAAGAAAAGAAACAAGCTCAGAGAACCCCAAGGACTCCATAAAAAGAAAGGTTGCACGCGGAAAAGTAGCTGCGTTGGCTGTGCGAAGAAGAGACCCAAATCCTTATTGATAAGGACATCCCTTTCTCAGGACAATCCACAAAGAACAATTTACAAAACAGGCTGCAGGGCAGGCTGTTCGGCTTAGGAGAACCGTTCATCAGGCAACTTGGTAAACACCTACAGAAAGACAGGAAAGTGTCCCTGAACTAGTCCAGAGGGACTCTCCCCACATCAGGATTTGTTTTCCATACCGGATAAGAGTGTTCCCACATGCCCTAAACCTTTAATTCCACTTTCACTCCCTTTCCCCATGAAACACTGGTAAAAGGAGATGATGGAAGGAGGAAGAAGACAAAATAACAATAGGGATTATGAAAACTCATGGGAGGAAGTTTAGAAAAAGTGAGGGTGTTCTGTCCTAGCAGTACTGTAGACCATTGCTTGCTGCTGTAGGATTTGCACCTGAACTGCAGCAATTTGGTATTTGAAAAACATGTTTTCAAAGGGAAACAGCAGTAACTAAAGAGTGCAAAAGTGAAGTATGCTACTCCTGAAGTAAATTACAGTGCTGATATTCTGGAAAGATAAGGTAGCAGTGTACCAGTGTACCTAATTGTAATGGAAAGGTGAAGCAGAGAAGCTTGTAGGGAGCATAGCTTTAGACTGAATGGAATAACATAAGTTAAGCAGGAAAGAGAAATCAAGGCAAAGCAGGGTGGAAAAGAATTTCCTAAGAATGGAGGCTGAGTTCAGGAGAGAGAGAGTTTTCTTATTTAATTATATAGCTCCAGTCACACAGTACTAAGCTATACTATGGCTTGTGGCTTTAATGTGAAGTGTGAATCCATTCCAAGAAAGGAAATACATTTATTTGCCTGGTTACAAAGATGCATGTAAGTTGGGAAAAACAATTTTGGTCTTTAGGGCATTTGCTATTTGTTGTAATGTTTCTGTCTTATGATCTTAGAAAGTAATTGAAAGTTACAGACTGTGAATATGCAGAGCTCTTTGTGATCAACAAGACTAAAATAGCTTGGTAAGGGACTACTGTACTCAAAAGCCAATTAGCCAGATGTTGCTGTTTAACATAGATGTTGTTCAGCCTTGGAAGACAGTAAACTTTTTTTCTTTGTTCAGTAATGCAGAATGAAGAGAAAAACAGACTAGGCCTGTCTAAGGAGTGCTTGCCATCTTGGTTCAAGGTAGATTGGCCACCAAGAGCTTTGGATGTATTGATCTATTATGGATGGTACAGTGGCAGGTTTCTAAAATTATAGACTAATGATGTTATATAAATATAGAAAGCACAGTTGTGCAGATAAGGTGTGTGTTGTTCAGAGTTTTTTAAGGATAGGAAGGAAGACTGTAGTTAGTTTCTTTTAAATCTTTTTTAAGTATCGAAATTGGACATAGTGGCTAGATGTCTTGTGATTGTGAAAAAATGTCGCATAGTTTTGCATATTGCATAGAGCCTTCTCTGCTGTTGCCCCCGCCCTATGAAATATTCTTCCCCGAGAGTTGAGGCGGGCCCCCACCCTCCTGGTTTTCTGGAAAGAATTAAAGACCTGGCTCTGCCGGCTTGCGTGGGGCAAGAAGAGATATAACCAACCCTGGGGGTGGCTGGTGTCTTGAAGATGCTCCCTGAGCCTAATAATTTTTACTTCGCCATCAATATCTTGGAAGATATTTATTATTTGTAGGAATATTGTTAAATTGTATTTTAATTAATATTTATTCTTTTACTATAAATCGCCCAGAGTTGCTTCCAGTGAGATGGGCAGCGACAAATGTGAAATATAAATACATAAGAGTAAAAAATAGTTGGCTGCACTTGTATCTTACTCCTTATTTAAAGAGTTAGTTCAGAGTGACTTCTGTATAATGTCCTGACAGACTTGCACAATTTAGAAATGCTTTCAAATCAAACTTACTTCAGTAATAAATTTGTTGCATCTTCAATCTAGAATATGGGAGAGCATCATGAACACAATCTGTCTTGGCTTAATGTATGCCAAAGAATCTTCTACAATTAAATAAAATAGAGCTTGAAGAAACCATAGTTTATTCTGTTTTCCCTAACAACATTTCTATAAGGCTGTTTTATTTGGCATTGAAAGTCAATTTCCTTGATTGTTAATGGTAAAGAAATAATCATTTTCTTAGTTTTCTGTAGTGACGAAAGCAAACTTCTCTCTCTCTCTCTCTCTCTCTCTCTCTCTCTCTCTCTCCC